CATTAAGTGTAATAATAAACGCAGATCGAGGCGAACTTGAAGCCGGTTCTCCGCCTGGTTGTTGCCACTTTTGGTGCGGTTCTCATACTTATATATAAAAAATTCTTTTTGCGGAGAATTGAATAAGTCATAAAGGGAGGGCGACCAACAAGGTGGGAATTAATAATGAAAATCGGACCAAAATAAGGCACCACAACGGAGGACACCGCGTTCTCCGCTCGGATAATTATGGAGAGCATGCCAAAAGAGAGAGGCCTCGAAAGAAATGTCAAAACTTACGCTTCATTGCCCGTCGTCTTCCAGTCTTCTGAAGACAGTGAGGCTTTGAGGCTTTGCGTCTTCTGGTCTCTCACTCGCTTTGCTAACGATAACGACAACAAAATGCTGATGGCACAAATTATAGTCAAGCAAGAAAGAAAAGCGGAGTTGGAGCCGGAGACGCAGACGGAGCTGTAGCTGAAGTTGGAGCTGGAAAAAAAAGCCACAGCTGAAGACCGGCAGTAGAAAGCTAGCCAGAAAGCCTCGGTCCCCAAGCCCGCTTTGTCTCGAGCCCCACAATTTCCGCCATTTATGACAGTCACAAATCGAGTTATACTCACATACCCGCCGCCTAGGCTTTACCTCCAGCTTCGGCTTCAGCTCAGGCGATAGCTTTGGCCTCAGTTTCAGCTTCGGAATCAGCTAAGGCCTCTCCTGAAGCCCGGGTACTTTCTAATTCCTAAGCGCACTTTTTTCTTCGCGTTGGCTTGCTCCCTGGCTGCCGTTTTTGATGTTTAATACTCTAAGAAAAACTCTGGGCAGTTAAATACATGTGTGCTATAAAAAAAAGCCCAAAAAAACTATTAAAATCAGAGCTATTCATTAGTAAAAATACGTCCTTTTGCAGAAAAAGCGTTTTAGAAGAATTTGTAATACTTCAAAATAACAAATTAAATGCTAAAAAATGTCCCCTCATGACTGAATACTTGTTTAGAGTATTCCCTAGTTTGTATCCTTGGAATATAATCTTTTGCAAATATTTTTTTTTTTTGTCATTCAGTTTTTTGTTGTACAAACAAGTTTTGGTTTATTTTTCTTATTTTACAACGTACATCTCTTCAGGGTCTGCCAAGTGTTAATGTTCATTTGCGCATGCGATATTCCCCAAATTGCATGCAATAGAAATTTGTTGTCGAGGTCACACTGTAGTGCCGCCAACCGACCGTCAAAACAGTCACAATAGGTGCCCCCGTCCCGGGCCCGGCCCCAAATGGGGGGCTCCTCCATAACCATAACCATTCACAATGCCACAACGGCAACAGAGGCAAAAAAAAATAAAATAAATAAAGAGAAGAAAAAAAATATAGGGGGAAAAACTGTGCTTTGGAGGAGGTTTTTGGTAGCTAAGTGATGGGAGGTCAAATCCGTTACAGTTACGTGAGGCTCTTTTTGGCCAAACAGGAGAACGTTGTCGGCCAGTTTTGGCCAGAAGCAGATCGAATGGAAAGTAAAGGAGGCTTTTGGCTAATGAACTTGAAGTGGAGGGTTTCGCAAATTGACGGAAAAAGGTGTATCCCATTTAAGCACCGATCTAATGGCAGGTCCAGCCAGTTGCTCTAATTTACATTCTTTTCTCATTATTGGAGAAACCGAGCCATTACCAAGATAAGCTCCGTCCAAGCCAAAATTTCGAAATTCCACACTTTCCACACAAATTTTCCAAATTACAAGGTACTGAAATTCATAATTTATACGTAAAATCATATCGGTAATGGCAGATGCGTCGTCTGATATCATTTTTTAAACATCATATGTCGATCTAGATTCCAGATCAGTTAACGTAATGCTCAACCGGTCCCATTTCGATCATGCATCCGAAAAAGAATGCATCCCGGGCGGAGTCGGAGTCTTGCTATTTTTTTCTCCTTTTAAATTCTGATACAGTTATACTGAATCAATTTTACCGGAGAATGCTTAGAATATTTTTAGATTTCAGTAATTTAGTGGAGCTCCAGTTGTGACGCCCCCTTAGCCACGACTTTGGGCCGCCAGCTCTCATGGCCGTTTGTCATTTCCAGAGGCGCGCCAATTGCAAAAGTGGCCTGCAGAGCATTTTTTGCTCTCTGTGTGAGAAAATGTGGCCAAACGGTTAATAACAGGGGAGTAAGTTGGCTTAGATGCCAGGCGGTTCAAAGGAGGAGGCATGAGGCTGAGGCAGGAAGGTGCGGCAACCGCAAATACGGCAGCAGCAGAGTCAACCTAACTGGGCCTAAAGGAAAAGTCTCCTTAAGGGGTCACGCCACCCTGAAATTTTCAAAAAATCGATTTTTTTTTTTTTACTTAATTTAAAAGACTATATTCTTACGCGTATTTTAAGACGTCCCCGAAGACAATATCTTGATAATTATGGAAGTTATGTTTATTTCAAGGCGGCACTGCAGGAGGGCACCTAAGACACTTCTTTTTCTTCTTTTGCGTTTTTCTCGAAACCACTTTTTTCAAGACGGTGGGCATGATAACTCAAAAACTGTTCAACCGATTGACTTGAAAATTGAAACACATCTTCTTACATAGATTTTCCACAGAGTGACGTAGGATTTTTTTGATCCAATGGATAGAAATTTTTTTATGCAATTTTTAGTACGAAATTTTTTGCCCAAAACATTGAGTCAAGTTTTGAAGTGCTCTCATTTGCGTAATTTTTCTTCTTTTCTAAAACGGCTACGTCACTCTGTTCCAAATTTATCACTTTTTAAAAAAAAATTTTGTTTATTTTTTTCTGATGAAAATTGACACGTGAATCATGCCCACCATCAAGGAGCACTCCGGAAAAACCCATGATCGCCGATGTTCATATCTCCGCCATTTTGAATTGAAAACAAATTTTTTTTTAGAATTTATAAAGCTCATTAGTTGTATTAAATAGAAATAAAAGTGGAAAAATCCTATCTCAACTAGTTTAGTCACAAGAAATTCCTGAAAAACCGTCCCGTTTCCACGCGGTCAGGGTGGCGTAACCCCTTAAACTTGAAACTTGATTTTTTAGTTTTTAGATATTTCAATATATATATTATATTTCTTTAAAAACTGTAAAAGATTTTTGAGAAATTTTGAAAAAAAAAATAAAGATACTATTTTTTCTACCTGAACTGTATGCACAAGTATGTGACTATGCGGAGGAGATGCAGTTGCAGCTAGAGCTGGAATTGGAGTTGGAGGAGATTCCAGCGATGGCTGTTGCTGTTGGGACAGGAAACTTAAACTAGTTCTAGTGCGAGTAGCTGCTGGCTTCTAGCCGAGCCATAAACTGGGACACTTGTTGCGGCAACTTGGACAGTCGATTGTTGGACGGATTGGATCGCTTCGGGGGCAATCAAGCTGCCAGCCCAAAGATGACAAACAAAATCTCGGATCTTCCCACGCGGCTGGGGAGCGGTCCTTCTGTTACCACTCCTCCTCCCGTCACGGTTCTGCCCTACCTATAACCCCCCACCCACCCTGCAGTAAAAAAAACAACAAAAAGTAGCCAACCTAAATTGTCTTAATGGACCATGAAGAGCCGGAGGAGATACTGAGGTCGAAACACCGGCCCAATACCCAAAACTCAGAAACCGACGAAAATACCTGATATTGCAGATGGCGGCAGGCGCGTAAATCTAAAAACCGCCCAATTAAACAACGAAAAATGTGTATAAAACAAAAAATAAAATTAAATAAGGCGACACAGAAAACAAAATCACTGGCGAGTAAGAGAGAAAAGGAGAGAGTGCGACTGAAAAGGAGAAAGAGCCGGCAGCGATGCTGGGTTGGATAAGCCCAAAAGAAAGTTTTCTTTCATTGACAAAAATTTTTTACTCGACGCGGCGGCAGTCTTTTGTTTTCCGCCGCAGACAACGAACTTGGCCGCTGGCAGCGATCTTAACCCCAAAGAGGTTATAATGTTTATATGTTCTTATACAAGATGCAGAATATTTTTAAATTAATAACATGATTAGAATTATCAACTCTAGAATTTAAAAATTTTTAGATTTGGTTTTTAGATATCATTTTTCTACCAACAGTTTGCAAAAATTTTTTTCTAAGTCCCTGTTTATTTTCTTGAAACCTAACCCTTTCCACTTAATGGGTAAATGTTGATTATACCGCTGCTGACGCTTTGGCATTAGTTACAGTTTTCCGATACACGAAATTGACTTTACATATTTCAGGCAGCGCGCTGCAGCGGACGATGTAACAGGTTGCTGTTGCTCCTCTGCCCGCTGCCTGGCTCTTTCACTCTCACACACAGATACACACATTTAAAAGATACAGATACAAGTGCAGACCATATCGATTGCTGAACATTTCGAAATGCTGCGCATGCGCCCGGCGTCGCTGCTTTTACCTGTTGCTGCAGCAGTTGCAGTTGCAGCACCAGCAGCAGCAACACCGCAGCATCGCTCGTTTCGTTTGATCTTGTGTCTTATTGTTGCGCGTTGTCGTGTATCTTTCTGCTTGTTATTTGTTGCCTTTCCTCTCTTTCTTCCCATCTCTTTCCATCGACCGCCTGAATTTATTGGCGCATATAAATGCCTCAAAATTGATGTTATTGTCGCTGGATACCCCCCAACCAAAACTCTTGAAAAGGCTTGTGTTTTTGTCCTGCTTGTTTTGAAAATTGATTTTTACTCGGATTTTTATGGCCGTAGTGTCCGAGAGATAAGGCGGAGGAGGTAGGGAAAATGCTGGATCGGGAAAACCAAAGCAGAGCTGCACAGCCAGAGACAAAAGAAGAATAAACAAGGAAGGGTGGGCGTAGCGCTGACAAAGTGGGCGTTCCAGGGCCTCAAAGAGAATAGAGCAATTTTCGGTGCACTCGGTGGACGGGGGGACAGTCGAGGAGCAATGCAATGAGTTAATTTCGAGTGGGCTGAGCCCAGGTATTTTTACTCCAAGTTACGTGGGCTCTGGCATCGGCAGGGAGCAGCAACGTGGGCCGGAAAATGGAAAATGCAATGGCCAAATCGAATGGCTAAACTTACATTTTGCAAAAATCTCTCAAATGCTGGGGTCTATTCCAAATTGGTCGCCTCTTTTTGGTTTCTCCACTTTCCTATTTCATTCTCCATTCAAATCAAATCACAAATATTTGCGCGTGCGCAACTGCCGCATTCCAGGGATACACACTTGCGCACACAGATGCATCCACCAGATACATTCGCGTTCGCAAACAGCGGCGTTTGTTTTGCGGCTAATTGTTTGAACAGCACAAATTATTTTTCACACTATGCAGTTTTATTTGTTTGTTTTACAACTCCGCACTCTACACAACTGAGATCTTTTATCTGTTATGTGTATCTTTTATTGGCTCAAGTTTTCCAGCCTGCCCTTTATGGGATGCCTGTTTGTATTCCTTTTTTTTGCACGAATTTTTTTTTTTGCCATCCAAAGACTTAAGGAATTTGAAATCTATGACAGGGCTTCTATGGACTTTGGTGAAAAAAAAACACTCGCGACGCCAAAGCCACCCACTTGGCAGGCCGATGCCTCACCAAACATTAGCTAATTTCGCAAAAAATTAGAATTTCAGTTGCCTCAAAGATCGGAGGACGCGCGCAGAGCTCCATCCGCGTCGGTTGCCCGTTGTACCTTACAGATACTCGATCTTACAGATACTCGATCGTTCAGATACTCGTTCGGCCAGTGTGGTCAAATAGTAGTTGCAGACCCCCCTTTAAATCCAAAAATACCAACTTCATGTAGCTGGTATTTTTTAAGCGGTATAAAATGTAATCGAATGATCTATCGATCTAAAAACATCTGATTCAAAATTTAGTTCACCCACTGGCTATGAAACATTTGTAAAATTTCCAATATATTTTCTATTGCTATAAAAATTAAAAAAAGGACGCCTTCTACTGGAGAACAAGATGGGTCTCTGCCGCTTTTTCCAAACGGGTTCCTGCCGCTATGGAACCAAATGCCACAACGAGCACTTCGATGTCAAGTAAGAAAAACTATAAAGAGAGCCGGCAAAAAACCAATTTCAATGGATTTAATTTAGGCAATACCTTAAGTCGGATATGGAGTCTGGCCTCAATGGTAAAATGTGGCCATTTTCCGGCTATGGTCCCTTCAAAGACAAGCCAAACTTTCCCAACTTCATCGAGGACCAATCTTTCGAAGAGGTCCGTTTCCTTTGCTACGAGGCAAAAAAGGCCAACAATTTCGAGCAGTTCCACCAGCAATTCAACCGGGAAGTCGTGGAAGCCACCAACAAAATGAAAGCCATGCTACAGATGTCTCCCCAAATATTAGAGACAATGATCAAAATCTATGATACTCCGGAAGGTGCAAATGTTTCTTCGCAATCCCAACCCAACAACCCATTTGCAGCTGTTCCAGCTACTACTCCAGCTGCATCTATTTTCGGCAAGCCTGCTCTAAGTTCAGGAAACATCTTTGGTGCTGGTACCGCTCAGGCGAACAATACCAACAGCATCTTCGGAGGCGCCATGGGCGGTGGCAATACCGGGAACGGAATTTTTGGGGGAGGTGCAGCCAGTGCCAATACCGGGAATGGAATTTTCGGAGGAGGTGCAGCCAATGCGACTAACCCCTTTGGAGCACCGCAGCAACAGCCGGCAGCGCAGCCCTTCCAAGGCGGAAACCTTTTCAACCAGGCTCCAGGCCAAGCTTTTGGAGGCTTTCAGCAGCAGCAGCAGCAAGCTCAGCCTTCGGGAGTCTTTGGACAAGCAGCGAATTCAAATCAAGGAATATTTGCCCAGGCTGTTCAGCAGCAGCCACAACAGCCACCTAGTGGGTTGTTTGCACAAGCATCCGCTGCATTTCCAACTCAGCAGCAACAACAGCTTCAAATGCAACAGCAGCAGCAACAACAACAATTGCAGATGCAGCAACATCCACAGCAACAACAACAGATGCAAATGCAACAACAGCTACAGCAGCAGCAGCAACAACAGATGCAAATGCAACAGCAACCACAGCAGCAGCAAAGCATGGCACATTCCTCAGTCTTCAGCCGTATGGAGGATTTGAGTGCTGCAGAAATAGAAGCCTTCAAATCAGAACAGTTTTTGCCGGGACATCTGCCATTCAATCCACCTCCACGCGAATTTTGTTAAAATAATATTTTGTTATACAATCTATAAGATTAATGTACATAAGACTTAGAGCTGGTATTAAATAAGCATAAAGAATTTTAAAAAATAATCTAGTGCATCATCATGTTGAGGCGTTCCATATTGATTGAATAAACGGCATGGGAACCGATCAGGTTGCGATCCCTAAAGGCCAGCTGGCAGTCTTTGAGTGTGATCACTGTACGTTCGCTGGGGACACTGTAATATATAAACACCAAATTAAACAAATTTTTAATTTTAAAAAGGCATTTCATACATTTCCTCGCAGGCTGACAGAAAGACCACATCATCGTTCTGCCTCCGCATAAAATTTGCCGTATTGAGCTCTTTGTCCAGCTCCAATGGCGTGTCATCAACTTTTTGTCGGGTAACAGTATTTCGCAGTGATGGATCCCGCAGTGGAGCACCCACATCGTAATAGAAATTTCCTTCGCCACTGGTTTTGTAGTGTTTGCGCTTTTTGATAATGGCTGACAGTAGGTCCTTGAGCAGCACCTGGACGGCCATCGCCACATACTCAGCCACGTTGTCGTCCACGGAAACGAGTCCGATTTCCCAGGCTCCAATCAGGAATCGACCCATTATGAAGCCGGCATCGGGTAGGAAGAGCTCCTGGGCGCAGTAACGCTGTGATGGCAATTGCTGCTGCATTGGCTGCTGCTGATCGCCGCCTCCAATGCTTGGCGGCGGTCGAATCACCTGCATGTTGTCCTCGCCCACGAAATCCAGTACTTCGCACATCTCAAAGTTAAGACGCTCGGCGAAGGTGCGCGAGCTTCTTTTTCGCCTCTTGCTACGGTTTCCTCCAGAGCCGCTGCTGCTTGCCTGAACATTGGCTTGTGGAGTAAGTTCGACGGGAGCAAAGGCATCGATCTTGTTGAGCAGGGCCAACAAAAACTGATTGTGAAGATGCAACTTGTCGGGCGAAAGAATTTTCCGAGACTCCGCATCGAACTCTTCCTTTGTCCACCGGCTGCGAAACCAGTTCTTCATGTTTGCCCGGTACCGCTCCCAGTTGTCTCCCAGCGCCACCACTAGCGCCTCCTTGGTGGCCAACACTCTATCCGTGAGCATTTTATTCAGAAATTGATTTAATTATTCGTCACAATTCCGTTTTATAAACAAAATATGTTTTACAGCTGATGGTATGACCGTTTGAATAACTTCAAAAAATACCACAGGCTGTTCAAAATAATTTAGACCCTTTTAAAAGCGCGCTTAAATTTAAAATAAAATGTTTAAAAAATAACCATTGAAAAATCGTATAAAATTATTCTGTATCTTTGGTTGGTAAATAAATTGTTTAAGAACCAATAGAATAATTTATTTTATAAAACTTACAATAAATAAACACACACAAAATAATACTTTTGTTGTTAAATTAACAAAAAATAAGAAAAATAAATACCATTAAGAGGTAAAATAATTTAAACATCTAATTTACGCGATCCCAGCGCCACACGGTGCTGTCATCACATACACAGACTAGAATAGAACCGTCCTTGGAAAAAGACGTCTGTCGAATCGTAGAGTTACTTTTGGGATGAACTAGCTGGCTGCACTTGGTCATGTTAGGGTCGTTACAGTCTAGTTCCCACACAAATGTTGTTCCCTGCTGGTTGCCCAGAGCTAGAACTTTTTGCCAGGCATTGAATGCGAAGCGCACAAACCAGATCTCGCACATCTTGTAGTCGAAATGGTGCAGTACAGTAGTCGCCGTTTCCTGCGGCTTAATCTCCTGCCATGAAGCGGAAAGCTTGCCCGGTTTCCAACAAACTATAGAATTTTCACAAGACTTTGAGAAGACAAAGTCGCCGAACCACTGGACACAATCCACATAGTTTCGGTGAATATCGCGGGTCGAAAAGTCCGGAAAGTGTTCTTTGATCGTGGGAAAGGGACCTGTAGTCTTATTTGGACTATAACCTGAACTCAGTTCAATGGCTTCCTTGATGTCCGGCTTGTCCAGCCGCCATAGCTTTAATGAATGATCCATTCCGCTAGACATTATGCGGTCTCCCCGCAAATCAAAGTCGATGGAAAGCACCTCGTCACGATGCCCCTCAACGCCACCGAAAACAGCTACACAGACATCCGACTGAATATTCCAAAGTCGCAACGAATGATCCTTGCTACCAGACAGAAGTAGTTGCGGACGAATAGGATGGAATTTGAGTTCGTTGATGGCATGTCCGTGTCCAATGTAGTTCTTAGAGCACTGATTCTTGACAGGATTAAAGATTCGTATCACCCCACGATACCCGGCAGCAGCCAGTACCGGGTCCCCGGTCGCGACGTCGTAGGACCAAGCGCACGTATAGAAACTTTCGTCAGTCTGTAAAAATAATTCGTTAGGATAGGTAATCTACCGGATAATTTTATTCGCACATCTGGATCCGCATAAACCTGGAGTAGCCGGATGCCTGGACAGGAGTCTTCATCGCTTTCGTAGCTACAGTCTCTTGTACACTCGTAGATTGAGACCCGGTCTTTGCCGACGGTTGCAAATACCTGGGGCTGGCTTCTTTCCAAAAATGGATTAAACTGCACCCCAAATATCTGATGATTGTGGTCCTCCCGTACATGACAGCTGCAAGGCATAAGATGCGATTATATGCTCCATAAATTTTGTTTTTCTTTTTTTTTCAAATAACTTACCTGTACTTGTATAGTGGCTGCACCAACTTTGGGGCCTTGACCCGGCGGCACAGACGGTTTAATTTTCGTGTGTTTGGGGATTTACTTCTGGTGGTTGTTGTAGTGGAGCTGAACAAACTCGCAGAGTCGTCTCTGTCTATGGAAATACAGTCGTTTTCATCCTCCGCAATGAACGCATTAACGACGTTTGTCCCCACAGTGTTTTCGATTAATTCGGATGTTGATTGACCTGTTGAATCTTCCTCCGGTGATGGATTTTCCCCGTGAAAATCGGTTCCACCTGAATTGGTCTCCGTCATAATTGATTTAATATTCAAAAACGAAGTCCGAGCTTCTTTTGTTTACAATTGGCGGACGCGCTGCCAACTGAGTGAAGCCGTGCTGCCAACCTGTATTCTAAAAGTTCTTCAGAATGTTATATATTTAATTTAATAATTAATAAATTAACCCAAATATATTTAAGTCGCGTTATCCTATTTGTTTATTGATCATCACTAGTTTTACCTATTCTCTAATAAATATTAATATTAAAAATGGTTGTAATGTTGCGAAAACTAAATGAATACAATTTTCTTGAGTTCTAGTTTTTGATTGAAATATTTTTTGAGGCCAGAAGCTCATCCAGATGCGTCTCCACCTCCTTGTGCGCCTTTACGCTGTGGTCAGTGATTGTGGCCGCTTGGTGAACAAAGAAACCACGCAGTAGTTCCGCCTTGGTTTGAACGAGTTGCGCCTGCGCCTGCTGCAGTTTGAGTTCGTTACTCAACTGTGGACCCAACTTCAGGTCAGCGACACCCTTAAGTAGTGAGCACTTGCGTTCCTGCAGATCTACCAGCTGCTCCAGACTGTTGCGGTGCTCTTCCTCCAGCTTGATGATCTCCTCTTGATCGGCACTTAGGTCCGCATCGCGAGTAAATGCATCAGGGAATTCCTGCCGTATTTTATCGCCCAACTCGACAATGGGTTGAAGGTTGTTCCTAAGTTGGGCGGAGAGTCTGGTTCGTACCGCCTTACGATCGGTGTAGTTCAAAGGAGGGAAGCTGTTGAAGACCTGGAGATCTGAGGACAAGAGTAAATGTAATAAAGAAAAGACGTAGATTGCCTTTCGGATTTTATTACCCAGAAGATGATCCTGACCATGGGTCTCGCCCAGGCGCACGTAATCACCAATGGATATTAGTTTCAGGGCTCTTTTAATTTCTGGACTCTGTTGCGAACCCAAGTCCAAGCGGCGGAGCTCTTCCAGGACGAGTTTCATTTTGAGAACATTTTTTAGGTGGTGGTCACGTGTATCTCTTAGATCGTTGGAGTCGGTGGGAAGAAGGGTTGTTGATGGGTCCAAGTTATCCATAATTTAAAATTTTGTTTCCTTTATTATTATTCGAATAGGAACGCGTCGTCCAGAGTGCCCAGATTAAGCAAAAACATCACGACTATCGATGGTTGACAGTCACGGCATTTTTAATTAAAATCGCAATATTTAGAAAAGCTAAACTTTTTTGTTATTTTACAGAAGATTGTTAAAATTGTTTAAATTATTAAGCTGAAATTTTCAAAGCTTATATAATTATATCTTATAGCTTATGTCTTGTTAGTGTAACAAGTGTCGATCTACTTGCTTCCATCCCTGGAAAGTCATCTCTTGTTTGAAGTCAACCCGCTGCAATAAAGAATATAGTAATGACCTTTTTAATAGACTTTTGCATGGAAAATTCCACATGGATAAAAATTGCCATCGGTGCTTTGGCAACCGAAGTGATATGGATTTTTCTACAGTCTAGAAAAAAACTGAGTCCAAAAACGAAAAATCGACTGAATAAGGTTGTGATTTGCAGCGAATTAAGCGAAACGTGTGCGCATTATCACATAAGGCATAGGAAACCGGGATCTTCAAAAAAGTGTGGGAACAATTATTGCTCATTAAAGAATATAGATGCGATTGTGGAGGTGATCGACAAGGCATTGTACTCCATTGACATTGCCATATATGCGTTCACCGCAATTTCAATATCGAAAGCTTTCGAGCGAGCCATGCACCGTGGAGTGAAATTACGGATTATCAGCGACAAGGAAATGACCACTTGCGGCGGATCCCAGGTGGCTGTCTTGTCTCTTCTCGATGTGCCGGTGAGGACGCCTGACACAAAATTCATGATGCACCATAAATTCTTCATAATCGACGCCATACCGCGTGTAGAGGAGATCAGACGCCAGAATAATATAAAGATAGTGCACCCTCCTTGCAGCGTTTTGGCCACCGGATCTTGTAATTGGACCAAACAGGCATTTTCTTACAATTGGGAGAATATCTTAATCACCGAAGACGCTGATTTGACAGCCCGGTACCATACAGAGTTTTCTCGCATGTGGGACTCTTGCGAAAATCCTACGAAAGTCCCCGCACACAAACAAGGAAACAGTTTTCGCCGCTGGATCTCGACTATGTGTAACTGGTTGCAAAGGCACTTTGCCTGGAAACTTGGCAATGTTAACAATTCACCACCAAATCTATGTAATCCTAAATCGTGTAGTGAAAATATAGCTCCAGAAAATAGTAAGAACTTAGTTGCCGGCAATAATCACCAGGTCTCGGCAGAAATTCAGGATGGAACATATATTAAAAAGTAACCTTTTATCTTCATTTAATCTTAAGAACTATTACGTTATTTCCTTTTTTAAGAAACCATAAAATATGTATAAAGTGAACTTTTCTCTTATTTTGAACTTATAAAGATATACACATCCTTAAAAGCTACTTGTCTTGTTGTTTTAGTTTTTCCGCTTTTCTTAAAAATGACTCCTTTAAGCCATTTAGTCTCTCAATCTCTCCCCGAATTTCCAGATATTCCAGGTATGATACTCCCGATTTTAATAGGATCTCCTGTTTCAGTGCGAGCACGCGGGCGACTTCTTTTTGTTTTCGATGCATCGCCGTTAGTTTAATAGAAACGGCAGAATCCTTCGTTTGCTTCGATTTTTTGCTGCGTTTGGATTTTTTAGATTTCTGCGGAATATAAGTTTAGTAAAAGGACTAAAATGATGGTAATTTTAGTTACTTTTGAGATTTGCATAGCTTGTTATCTTTTTTGGGATTCCGCGTGGTTCTGTTATTGTTTACAAAATGCTAGTGTGACCATGCTGTAGTCTGATCAAATAAAACCAAAATTTAAAAATTGAATAAAAAATTTCAAACTATTGATTTTAATACATATGTTAGTTGAATAAAATAAAAGAATGTTTTGCTAATAAAGCTTAAAATTTGTAGTATATTAAAGTTTGCTTATTTTAGTTTAGTAACTAAGTTAAGTTAATTATGACTAAATTCGTTTAAAAATAGTCTAACTATTGAAGCTGCTATTTTATTAATTTATACTGACTTGTTTTCATTGTAGAATATAGATAAACCTTTTATATTTGAAAAGTTTTAATAGAATTTCCAACAGTTTCTTGTGTAGCAGTTGGCAGTCCTCTCAGCTGTGAAAGTTTCCGTGCTCTAGCAACACCGGTTCTGCAAAACTTACTCATCACTGGCATACCAACGCCTCACAACACTTTCCCCTCACCTGTAAATAAATCGGAATATTTTCATCAAATTTTTTGCCAAAAATTATTGAAACCAAAGTGATCCTCAAGCTGTCGAAACCATTCCGGCTGGTGGCCCGGGCCCAGCGCCAATCCGTGTGCAATGGAACTAACTGGCGGACGCTGCCCGCAGCGAGTCTAATAGCCAAGAAATGGCTCAGTGATTAGAGGCTATATTGCGTTTGCGATGCCCGAAAAATTAGCATAAAGAGTGAGCAATTAAAATGCGAAAAATGTACGCGTTGCTGGCAACCTTGACATTCTGGACGCTCACGCTGCTTTTGCCACTGCCGTCTGAGCAGTTGCACGTTCCGCCCCCGGTGCCGTGCGATCGCAGCCGAAAGGTCTTCACAGAGCCCTTCGGTGAAATCAGTGACGGCCCCTCCGGTCACAACTACACCCAGGATTCGCACTGCGAATGGCTTATTAAGGCGCGCAACGACAGTCAGTTCATCACCTTGACTTTCCATAGCATGGGCACAGAATGCTCCTACGATTATATTTACGTTTACGACGGGGACTCCTTCAATTCGACGCTGTTGGGGAGCTTCAGCGGACGGACGCAGCCACAGCGGCTGGTCGCCCGCAGTGGAAGTGTGAGTAGAGCTTATATATTGTGATCGGCTAAAAGGCTAATCTTTACATAAGTAGCCTTTTTTCAATGGCAAGGGCTTCTCCTTATACATCTATTGTTTTCTATTTGATTGGGGATGCTGATTAAGATTGGGATTATTCCTTATTAGGCGCCAAATTCTTATGTAGAGCCTGGTCTATAAATGAATCCTAGACTTGACAAATTTTATTAAAATATCTTCTCTTATTTTCATGACCATCGGCAGATGCTGATCCTAATGTACAGCGATACTAACTACGTGCTGGATGGCTTTCGCGCCTCTTACTACATATCAAATTGCTTAAACAATTGCCACAACCATGGAAAGTGTGTGGGCCATCAGTGCGTGTGCCATGGCGAGTGGGTGGGGCCAGACTGCGAGGACGAGGCCTGCCCAAAACGGTGTGGCGAAAGCCAAGGGCGCGGACAGTGCCAGAAGAGCATTTGCCACTGTTCACGGGGCTACAGTGGCCGGCTTTGCGATTTAAGCGACCATCCGGCGGGTAGCAGCTGGCGCTGGTTGGCTACGGATGCTGAGGGAATGACTCCTCGCGCTGCGCACACTGCAGTTTATATGGAGGACGAAGATGCTCTCTATGTTTTCGGAGGATATGATCTGAACAATGTGATCAACACACTCCAGGTAACCTTCGGTCTAGATATAATAATACTTTTCCTTTAATATTAAAAATGTTTCTTTTTCACTTTTGTGTTCTCAGATTTATCGCTTCAGTTCCAGTCAGTGGGAGGACGAGTGGGGTATCGCTCTGCAGAGTCGTCGGCATTTCTATCATCCCCATAAAATAGATCACACGCTTCTTAAGGCTGTGCTGCAGCACAAGAATGAGGACGAGGCGAAACTATGGGGTCTCAACAGCGATATAAGCTTCTTTCGGAACATTCTGTACACGCTGGCGGAGTCTAATCTTCACCAGCGTCGGACACGCTCTTCACTGCCGCTTACTATCGTGAATGTCAATTCGACGGACGAAGATTTAAAGGGCTACCTCGGGGACATACTAGAGGTCGTGACGGATCACAAGCCTAATGGCCGATATGGACATGCAGCAGACCGCGTACCGGGAGGATTTGTCATCTTTGGCGGTAAACACGCCAACGGCAGCTTTTACAGCGACCTCTGGCTGTACAACAACACTGAGAGTGGACAAAAGTGGAAACAGATGGCCATTCGGTCGGTGGTGAAGCCGCCGGCGGTGGCCAGGCATACTTTAAATACTGCTGGCAAATATCTGTACCTCTTCGGTGGAAGTTTAGAGACAGGAGAGTTCTCCTCCAGCGTCTATCGTATACCCCTGCCGCTGACCGAGGACTCGCAATGGGAACTGGTGCAGCCGAGGGGAGGAAAGACACTGGATGTTCGCCTAGCAGCCCATTCCACAGTTTACTATAAGGCCACCAATTCGCTAATTGTGTTTGGAGGCATAATGACGAGCTTGGCCCGCTTCTCGAAGCTCTCGGATCGGATATTCGCCTTTCAGCTTGATCAATTCCATTGGACTGAGATCCTGTATCCCCGAACGGCTCTGAGAGACACTAACATACCCAGGGAGCGGGCTTTTCACACCGCCACTATCTCCGGAAACTACATGGTCGTCTTTGGTGGCTACACCCACCGCCACAACAAGGATGAAATATGCTACGACAACCAGATGTATTGGTACCACCTCAGCTGCCATATCTGGATCAACCAGGTGATCTCCACCGACGACAGCTTGTACCCCAAACCCCAAGGAGTGTTCGCTCATGCAGCTGCCCTACGGAGAAATCATACGTTACTGATTGTTGGCGGCTACCACGGGAACATGAATGCGGACCTGTTTGCCTACGAGCTGCCTCAGGTCTTGAGGGTGGAGGACACACTGTACAATCCGGAAGTTTCATGCCGATTACACGCCTCGCACACCGCCTGTCTTTCGAATCCGGAATGCGGCTGGTGTTCCGCGGACAGCAGCTGCTACGGCCGCACCATTGGCGCCAATTGTACCACCAATTTGCAGACCACCAGGTGCCCGGGAATATGTCCCTCGTTGGGCGACTGCCACTCGTGTTTGGTCCACGGATCCCAGTGGGGAAAATCCCCTGCCGCTTTCTCCGTGGCCAGCAAACTGGGACTGAACGAGTGTACGTGGTGTGTGCAAAATGCAAGATGCCATCATCGAGACGACAACTACGGCATATGCGGAGACAGCTCCGGCTGGTGGGGCGACCAGGGCACCGAGATACGACGGCCTTCGCTCTGCACCAGCAACGATCGACGTCCCGGCTTGACCTACATCAAGTATCACTATCCGATCAACTACACCATGCCGGATTATGTGGGTATCGTGAACGCCACCATGGTGGATTTCGCGTCACCGCCATTTACCACGTACTTTGAGCACAAGCTGGAAGGCGAGATGCTGGCCAGGCTGTTGGGATTTGTCCGGCCGCAGCACCAGTGGAATAACTCGGCCATGCAAGTGTGCACCAGCTACTCCACAGCGCTGCTGCGAGCCGGTCTTGGCCTGAATCTCGACGAACTCGTTAACGTCACCTCGCAAACTTCCAACCAGAGCTATTGCAGCAACGTTCAGCTGCCCACCACTGAGCAGCCGTTTCTAATCGATTTTCAGGTGAGGATTAAATATTTAAACTAGCTTAAGAAGGTAGGAATATAATGCCCTTTTTATCTTCCAATAGGCTCGTCGGAGAATCGGCGGTAATGGCATCTACAATGCCTACCAAAAGACCAAAATGGAGCTGCAACACCTGCACAATGGCCAGCTGAACGCCTTCACGTTCGAGTACTTGGAACCGTATTACTCCGGGGACTGCACCAAGTACGGCAACTGTTTGCACTGCCTAACGGACGCCTCTTGTGCCTGGTGCCCCCTGACGAGCAAATGCCATTTGAGATCGGTGAATGAGACGGAGGTTTGCCGGCAAGAACCCGACCACTGGTCCTATCTGATTAGCCAGCCCAGCCAGTGCTCCAACTGCACCAACTACGTGAGCTGTGAGGCCTGCGCTGGCAGTAACGAGTGTGAGTGGTGGACGGAGGATGCCCGGTGCGGACGGCTAGGAAAGTCGAACAGCAGTGTGCGAGCTGTGGAGCAGTGTCCGAGATCCTGTCGGGAGCGTCATGGCTGCCAGGAGTGTTTGGGCGAGAGAGGAAGATGCGTTTGGTGCGAGGCCAGTGCCCAGTGCTTTAGTTTCTCAGTGTACACCAGTGAATACCAGTTCGGAATGTGCCGAGAGTGGATGGACCAGGTGATCAGTCGCCAGCCACAGGAGCAGCAAGTATCAGATGCACAGAGGCTACAGCCGGGTCAGCAGCAGTGCAAGTCTTGCGAGCAGCACCGAAACTGCTCCTCCTGCCTGCGAACCTTGAGTTGCGGCTGGTGCTTCGATCGCGACAACCCCATCGAGGGCATTTGCATGCAGGGCGACTTCAGCTACAGTTCCGGAAACTGCTCTCTGGCCCTGAACAGCTCCTCGCACCATGATGCGGAGTGGGCCTACGCCCAGTGCCCGGATGTGGACGAGTGCGGCCTGGGATTACACGACTGCCACAAGGAGGCCAAGTGCACCAACACCCAGGGCAGCTACAACTGCCATTGCCGGCGGGGGTACATCGGCGACGGACGCTTCAGTTGTGTCAGGACCTGCTACGAGACGTGCCAGCATGGAAACTGTTCCGGGCCACCAGACTACCAGTGCCGCTGCGATCTGGGATGGACTGGCGCCGACTGCGGCCTAAGTTGTGGCTGCAACAATCACTCGACGTGCACGGAGCGGCTGGGAAAGTGCGACCAGTGCCAGTCGTGGACCGAGGGTGAGAAGTGCGAGCGTTGTCGCCACGGAAGCTATGGAAATGCCACCGCCCTGCAGGGCTGCCAGCAGTGCGAATGCAATGGCCACGGAAACCAGGACCTGGGCATTTGCAATGTCAG